CCAGCTGTTCTGACTCAAAGACTATAAGTAAGTTTTTTATATTTAAAGAGTTTTTATATTTTATATATTTAAAGCAATTTTTTTGGGCAGTGTAGAGTAGGGCTTGTTGTTTGTCATTTCTCCAATCACAAATGCAGACATGGTTTTATGTTTACGCAGCGCGATGCAACGCAACGCATAAAAAGACAGTAGAAGTCATTATAATCCATAATTATGTCCCCACTGGATGCAACGAATGCCTCGTTTATAATGGGTTTTCATGTTTTTGAATCATCGCTCCGGCCTGACAGGACATCATCACAGTATGGTACGGGGCGTAACATTTCCGTCTCATGCTTGAGATATTCGGCCAATCACAACGCACTGGATAGCTGGCCAATCACAGCACACCTCGCTTTTTTAGAATGATGAGCTTTGTAAAAATCGACGCGTTTCAGAAAGGCGGAGCATAGAGGAGAAACAATAATGTACAGTATGTGGAAAATCATGTGTTTTTTTAACCTTAAACCGCATAAACACATTTCATTACACCAAATACACAAAATAATGTTCTTTTTAGCAGCATCATATGACCCCTTTAAGTTTTAGATCATAACACTGTCACTAACAACCATTAAAATGGCAGCTGAGGGGAAAGAACACATACCTGGAAATTACTAGTTTTCCAAATAGGTTTCCCCAACTCTCACATTATGCCTTAAAACAAATATGTTAAAAATCATGTACTCCGATAAATTAAGAATTGAGGCAAATAGTAACCTAATAAAACAAGTTTTATTTTACACTGAACGGGCTGCCTCATGGGGGCCCAATATGTTGAGCTCACATGACATTCCAAATACTATTCACTTTATCATAGTAACTCTTTTGCATGTGGAATAAATTAATTAGGGCTGACTACTGAGTGCATTTCTACAATGGCATCTGCAACTGAAAACTGTGTGTCAGCATAAGATCAAGGCCATTGGAACAAACCAAAAAAATTCTGAGCAAGTCATTCATATGCTCACATTATAAATATGCCTGAATGTGACGTGAAAGTAATGGGAGATGACAATGCTTACCTGGACACCGACAGTTTTAATTGGCAGCAGAAAGGCATTCAGTGAATGAAGGCTGGTGATCTGCATGAGTTTCTCTTCCTCCTCATCTGATATGCATGACTTCACTCTCTGAAGAAGGGTGTGTGGCTGAATGGATTGACATTAAAGGATTGAGATTTTATAGCATGCCATATATAACCCAGAGGGGACTCTGGAATGAATGTGTGCTTTCAAGTACCCACTTTCAACTTAATCAGCAAACTTATAGATTTTTTAAGTTGAAGGTAAATTGTTTAAGGTCAGTGTCAATAATTCAGCCAAGAAATAAGCAATCTTTAAACTAGCGCGCACACACACACACACACACACACACCTTTTTGACACTGGCAGAGAAGTCTGTGATGATTTTCAGGATGTTGTTGGTCTCGGCGAAGTCTTTACAGATGTAAGGCTCATCAGCGCAGATCACTCTGATGGCAAGGCCTGGACCTACAACACACAATAAACACAGTTTCAACAAAGGCCACACAAAGTCATTAATATTCACATGTGCATCATACATTCAAAACATACACTACCGTTCAAAAGTGGTCTGTGTGTTTTTTTTGTTTGCATTTTTAAGTTTTTAAAGAAAGTCCCATCAAGGCTGCATAAAGCAAAATTGTCAGCAGCCACATGATCCTTCAGAAATTATTATAATATGCTCTAATATACTTGTGCTGCTATAGTATATTTATGTGGAAACTATGAATCATTTCTTTTAGGATTTTTTGATGAATAGAAAGTTCAAAAGAACAGCATTATTTTAAAATAGAAATATTTCGTTTACCGTCACAATCAATTTAATGCATTGTTTCTGAATAAGAAGCATTAATTTCTTTAGAACTTTTAACCTGTAGTGTAAGATCATTGTACACTCAAAAAGAAACTCTTTGGCTAAACATGATTTAATCGTGGACAGTGGTTCAAAATCACAACTCTAACAGTTTATAGCAAATTTGTTGAAGGCACACACAAAATATACTACCCAACAACTCATGCCATTTATTTGAACTAATTATTAATGAAAGTAAACCAAATTAATTTTTTAATTAAGCAGAAACAGAGATTTGAATGTTTCTGATGGTCTTACCAGGGAAGGGATGTCGGGAGACGATCTCTTCAGGGAGCCCCAGCTCTCGACCTAGTGCTCTCACTTCGTCCTTATGGAAATCCTTCAGTGGTTCGATTACTTTACCCTGAAGGGCAAGGCATTCAGAAGAACCAGCAAACAACTGTTAGGATCAAACCATAATTGAGTTCCTCTAACTTGAAGAGACTCCCTATTGTGTGCCTCTATTCTGGCACACCGCAGGGGGCCCCGAATATACTACAGCCAAATCTATTATAAAACCACTTTCCCTGCTTCAGTTCACCAATGTTGACAAAAGAATCTGTTAAAATGCATACATATAGAAACATTTTATATAGATAAAGTAAAGAGTTACGGGACTATAATGACAGGTTAGACTTGTATTAGGACATGTTGCAAGCATGACTCAACAAGTTTGGTTGATGTTAATCTTTACCTCGTCTCTGAGTTTGCGGATAAGTTCTGTGTCGTTGTGGTGTGTTTTGATAACTTCTGCCTTCCCGCTAGCCAGGTGAGATGCACTCTCAATAAGGTCTGGCCTGAGCGTGCCTTGCGCCAAGAACACATCCTCTGGCTTCAGATTCATCTCTCCGATCACTTCATTTGCAACCTAAGAAAGACAGCAAATTAGAGCCTCATTGTTCTGCTCCATATTTAAGAGACTTTAATGCATCATAATAGGTTTATTCCACAGGCTAAGTATTGTTTGATGTGTACACAAGACATTTTAGGCGAATCAATACTGAAGTCGATAGTTCCCCTCACTAACATCATTACAGGACCACGATAATAATGACATCATCAGTTACTGGTCGAAAAACAGGGTGAGGGCACAGTCAACTACAAACTAGAGCTACACACTTTTACAAACGTATCCCCAATGATCTTCCGTTTCTCTTCTGGATTGGTGGTCATGTTAAGCGTTTTGCTGATGCGTTTTCTGGGTGTGCGATCCTCTTCTGATATTGGAAGGGTTGTTGTGCCGTTGTAAAAGGTGTGCGCTGCGTTTACCACTGTAAAGTGACACAGTGACGTTTTAGTCTCAACACTGAAGTGTGTTTTACTTGATATTGACACAATATATAAAGTTACATAAACTTTAAAGGGATAGTTCAGCCAGAAATTAAAAATTGCTGTTAATTTACTCACTTTCAAGCCATCCAAGATATAGGTGATTTTTAACAGAAACCATGGTCCTTGTTGATTTATAAAATGCAAGTCAATGGCTACCGTCACTTTGAAAGTCAAGAAAAGTATATCAGGCAACACAAAATGTATACCCGTTGCACCTGACAATATATAGATGTTTTATGAAGCGAAACAATCAGTCCGTGCAAGAAACTGAACATTATTTACAGCATTATTACCTGTAATCCACAGGCAAATGGCCCAACCTCAGGCAAATCGCCCAAAGTGATGTCTGGTTCCCAAAAAGAAACATTCTTTTGAACCGGTTATTTTTAGTGACCTGGATGAACCAGTTCATCATATCGGACTGAACCGTCTAAAACAGATCGTGGCTCAAGCAGCACAACTCTACAAGTTATTTAGTCACCTTTATTTATATAGTGCTTAATACAATACAGATTGTGGCATTCAATCAAAACTTACTCCTTACAGTCACTGCAACTTGAAATGAGCCAATATTCCGGCGTATATGATCTTATATGCTGGTTTTTGCTAACTCATTGAGCACTCCAGTTACTCTAATAGCACACTGAACTGTGCATGCCTGAATCGAGCATTTGAATGAAGGGGCGAAATCAAAGTTTTTATGTTATGTAAAAAAGTTAATTAAGATTAGTTTATTCACTTAATATACTTTAGACATGTAAAACATCAACATTTTACATCATTATTGGGTGCTTCATTAATATACTTGCATATACGTTGCATCATCATTTGAACCAATGCATTGAAACAAACTATCCGAAAGAACCAGTTTGCGAAGAAGAATCGGACTTCCTCGTTTGCCTGAGGCTGTGGATTACAGACAATAATGTTATACATAAATTTCAGTTTCTTGCACAGATCGATTGTTTCGCTTCCTTAAACATCTATATAGCATCAGGAGCCACAGGTATTAATTTTGTGTTGCCGGATATGCTTTTTCGACTCAAGTCAACTACATCTTGGTTGGCCTGAGGATGAGTAAATTAACAGCACATTTTCATTTTTGGGTGAACAATCCCTTTAATATTAGTAATAAATGATAATGCATACATAAACTTTAATGAAAGAAAGAAAGAAAAAGAAAGGCTTTTTAATAAAAGGTAATACATTCTAAATAAATAGTTTATGCTAAACTATTTCATTGATTGAAAAGATCCTTCTGAATGTTACCTTTGAGTTTGATGCCGAGTTTAGTCAATGCTTCCTCAACACTCTGACTCTCTCTCTTTCTCATGAAGCCGTTGTCGATGTGAACAGCAATCACTTGCTCCTGATTTAGGGCTTTATTCAGCAGGGCTGTGCACACAGTGGAATCTACACCACCACTCAACAACACCTGCACACATATAAACATACACAGAGATCCTGACTCACTTTGGACTGTAACTGTAAACAAGACATCCACTAAACTCAAATGTTCAAATACACTGAATAAACAGTACACCAGAGAGAAATCTGGGGGAAATACACAGATAATATTACTATAATATTGTGCTCATTAATAGATTAACAATCCAATATAATGCTCAGTTCATGCGCTAGAGAGAAGAACCACTTTGCAGAAGCTCAGGGAGGAAATCACCTTGCTTTAGGAAAGATCACTTTCAAATTGGAATTTTTAATTAGTTGCCACACACACACACACTCACCTGCCCAAGCACTGCCTGAAGCAACAGCAATTAAGAATTAGACAAATTAGAGTTGTAATCACATATGTGCCTTCAACCAAACAAAAGGCCCTTCATAGATCGAGGCGGCCCACATTAACAGTAACATCCACCACACACATGCATGCATATGCTAACCAATTAAATCTAAGCTTTACTAAATAGCAATCTCTTAATTATTATAATTAGAGAATGATGTGCCACTAGAACAGTGCTATTTTAGTATTATGTACCATTATAGGCCTAGTATTTAACATTTTGAATTAGCTTTTAGTTTTATATTTTCAGTTTTTATTTACATTTTAATTTAGTCATTTTGTTTCATTTGATTGTTTTAAATGGCAGGTTGAAGGGGTTTACGGTACTCACCAGAACTTTGGATTTGTCCACCTTCTCTCTGATCTCACTGATGCAGTTCAGCTGACGGTTCTGTACTGTAAAGTTGCTGCTACAGCCAGCAATCTCAAAGAGGAAGTTGCGTAGCATGTCCATCCCCCTCTCAGTCAGATCGACCTCTGGATGAAACTGAGTGCCGTAAAGTTTCTTCTGCTCATTAGCAATGGCTAAGACAGAGATGAAGACGGGAAATGTCTTAAACCACAAACACCCACAGCCATGACAAAGAATCTAGCATCAGAACCACTTTTTTTTTTTTTTGATACAATGCATGTCTAGGAAATATTCTTCAGGTTCGCCTACTCACCGGCGACAATGTTTCCTGACTGTGCAACAACTTTGAAACCATCTGCTACTTTGTCAACACTGTCTCCATGTGTCAGCAGAACATGCTCCTCCTTTTGCAGCCCCCTTGAAACACACAAAAGGGTTTCATCACAAGAAAACTATTAACTACTTTAAAAATCTATAAATGTGAAAAAACGGACATAATAAAGGAAAAAAAACATGGTGCTATCTGACATACTAAAGGGACTTTTACCTGAAGAGCGAGCAGGAATTGTCCAACGCAATGCTGAAAACACCGTCCTCCCTCACACTCTTCCTGTGTACTGTGCCTCCAAAAACTTTATTCATCATCTGGTGAACACAAAAAATAAATCAATAAATAATATTTATTATGCTCTTTTGAATGTTCGAATTATCAAACAATTCTGAAAAAAAATGTTCCACAGTTTCCACAAAAAATATTAAAGTGCCCCATTATGCCATTTCGAATATTGCCTTTTATGCAGTGTGTAATATAGCTGTCTGTGAATGTAAACATTCTGCAATGTTGTGAAGCTGACAGTGCACGGTAAATAAAAATATTGTTTCTCAAAAAAATAAGAATCGACTCTGAATCACCTAAACGAGTCGTCAGGAATTCAAATCCCACTTCCGTGACGGCTACACATCACAGGGTAACACATTTGCATAATGCCCGTTCAAGGTTGGCCCGCCGGGAACAACTTGACCTGCCCTCAAAAACTGTAGCTTGTTACTGGCGCCTAATGTCAACTAGGTGCTGCACGATATATCGAAATTATCAAAATATCGCAAATATAAATAATCGCAATATGCATATCGCAAGGGCATGCAATATCTGAATCATTTTAATAATAGGCTACTTAAATCAAATTGTTGCAAAAGGTCAAAGTTTTAGTTCGACGTATATAGCAGAGAATTGCTTGATGTTAAAAAGAGTTAAGTGCAATAAGTTACAGAAAACAACTCTTTGCCGTCTCGTCTTGCTGTCTGACTCACACCTAAAGCGTGCGCACAAGCCGCATCTCGCACAGCGTATCTTCAGTTCTTCCGCACACGTACAAAGCGTTCGAACACACACACACACACACCCAGAGAGACGCGTTTGACACGGCACGCGAACACCGAGTTGATTCGTCTTTCGCATCTCCTCATGTTTGAACAGACACATGGAATTGTCAATAGTACCCGTCTCAACGATCATTCTCATAAACGCAGTCGGTTATGTTTTAAATGAATGTAAACAGCTGAGAAAGAAATCGGATTTGTATCATTATAGGCTACTGGATCTGTGCAGTCGGTTTTAAAGGGACGGCAGCCTATAAATACGTGCTGCTGAATGTGTCACTAATGTTAATCAAACAACAAAACAGCTATAACAAAGATTAATCTAAATTTAATTCATACAGTGAACATTATGCAGTGTTATTTCACACCTAATTATTAAATTTATGTACCTGAATACTACTGTTTATATTATCTATGCTTGTAAATTGTGCATTTCTTTTTTTTTTCTTTTGTTTTTACTGACTGTTCACTTGCCTTTAATCATGTTTGAACTATCTCAGACTATAGTTTTTGCTGTGGCATATGAAGAAGTACTTAAAGTGTATGGAAAGCAAAGTTACAATGATATAAAATTAGTGTCATTAATTTTTTTTTGTTTGCATGTTCACACTGATGTTAAAATGACATTTTCTGATTTGTGACATTACTTTTTATGTAATGCTAAAACACTGCTGGTCATTTTCAGAAGTTGTAGTGATTCTTTCTTTTACAAGAAAGAATGTGAAACAAATTGGTTATATAATTTTCATTTTTAAATATTTTAAAATATAATTTAAATTGATTTTACACACTTTAAGCAATATCGTATCGCATATCGAATATCGCATTTTTCTTCAATATCGCACAGCCCCACTAATGTCAACTAATGCAGAAACGTATAATACTACCTATCGTACTTCATGGCAGCAAACGTTTTTACCTTCACTTGGCATTCTGATACAGTTCCCACATGTGCACCTAAATAAATTATAACAATGACGCTTGCGAATTAGCGTCTGGTTGATCAACTAGACGCTTCATCATCAGAATCGGGCTCGAATTTCTAAGGTAAAATCGATACCATCTTTTCTCTCAATACATTCTTTCCGAAGCTGTCATTCAGTTATGGCAATGGGCGTTTCGTTTCCGACATGCGCTGTACGCTGTAGATCAATAACAAAGGACTGGGTCATCTGACCAATCAAAGCAGAGTAAGCTCATGGAAAGGAGGGGTTTAGAGAGCATGATTCTTTGAACTGCTTCATATGAATCATATACGAATCATTGAGCAATGCAGTGAAATTAAATGTATATTATGGGAAAACAAAAGTGTAATGTAAACCTGTTGTAGGAGCCTCCCAAAACAATATTAGGAACCTTAAAAATGGCATAATAGGGACACTTTAAGCAGCACAACTGTTTTCAACATTGATAATAATAAGAAATCTTTCTTGAGCACCAAATCAGTATATTCAAATGATTTCTGAAGGATCATGTGACACTGAAGACTGGAGCAATGGCTGCCGAAAATTCAGTTTAAGTAATAATTGCATTTCAAAATATATTGAAATAGACCATTTATTTTAAATTGTAATAAACAATATTTCTGTTTTACTGTATTTCTGATCAAATAAATGCAGCCTTGGGGAGCATAAAATATTTTTTTTTTTAAATCATGCCAACCTCAAACGCTTGATTGGTACTGTATATTATCAATCTGATTTATGACGATTATGATTATTATATAATAATTATTAATAACAATTATTGTCATTGCTAATTCGCTTCTCACCTGCATTCCATAGCAGATACCAAGAACTGGTTTTCCGATGGTGAATATGGCTGGATCAAACCAGGGTGCATCTTCAGCATAGACAGAGTTTGGCCCTCCGGATATAATAATGGCCCTTACATTGGAGAAAATAATTTGATATACACATTATAAACCAATTTACATTAACCAAAACATAATTTCAAAAATCTCAAGCGGCTGAGAAAAATGGAAAGAGTCTGTCTGTCTGTTGAATCACTGAGACTAGGCAAGTTCTAATGCAAAGGCCAGATCATCTAAGCCACTTATCTCTCCAACTTGTGGGTTATTCTGTCCTTCTATCAGCCACATTCTGTCTCTCAATGTTCACAGCTTCCGGTAAACACAACAGCTTTGTTTCCTTTTATGTCCTCACAGGTGGAATGCACAGCACCTCACACTGTGTTCTCTCAAGGACAGACCAACTAACAAAAACCAATATGACTGTTTATCTTCAGCAATTGGTGCATTACAAATTTCTAGAATAGTTGCAGGTAGGGCTGCACGATAAATCGTATGCGATATTTAACAGCATCTTGTCAGTAAAGCCATTCTGTAATCAGCGGTAAATCTCCATCACGTGCGGGCTTTCACATTGAGCAGCATTAACGACACAGAGCCGTTGTTCACCGACAAGCTGAGCAAAACCACGATCGTATTTTGCCCATGTTTTGCGCAGCTTGTCGGTGAACAATGGCTCTGTGTAGTTAATGCTGCTCAATGTGAAAGCCCGCAGGTGATGGAAATTTATCGCTGATTAAAGAACCGGCTTTACTGACAAGATGCGCGTTAACTATCGCATGCGGTTTATCGTGCAGCCCTAGTTGCAGGTCTTAAAAGAGAAGCTGGGTGATTGTAACTGTACAATAAAAAAAATTAGTTTGCGGTCCTCAATAATGCATTCAACCAAACTTTTAAACATAGAAAAATGTCTTTAACTTGGAAAATACAATGACTGAGTTAATTTTATCAGAAGTGTACACGGTCTTCATTTACAACACCTAAAGCACACAACGACTCCAATAAAACCTGATCACAATAAATTACAAGCTTTAGGCTTTGCTGCACCGCACAACTGCTGTTTGATAAGACTTGAAATAGAATGGACAAAAACATACACCTATAGCTAACCATTCAACTTTTACGACCCAATAGCAGTGCGTTCCCCGTTAACCACAAGTTCAAAGTTTCAAACTAAGAAAATGAAGCCATGAAGCAAAACTACAAGCAATGAAGGTTAATCATTCTGATGTCTTCTGCTTTTAAAGGAAGAAGGCTTTTGATTCACAGAATGTTAGTTAGTTCAGTTACCAAAGCCGATCGGTTACCATATCAGACATTTCTACTTTGCAATTCAATTAGGTTTCCCTGGTACTTTTTAACATGAGAACCAAACAGCATCTACTGCTACATCTATCTTGGCACCGATGGGCTCACCTGAAACCCTGCTCTCTGATGGCGAAGGCTGGCGTCTCCAAAGGCAGAATCTCAGACTGGACAAACAGCTCTCGTACCCGCCTGTCAATCACTTTCCCATACTGTGCTCCTGCATCTAGGATCACCACGGCACCCTCGTAGGAACATAAACCATCTTTAGGCTCTCCGATGATATCCAGCTGCAGATACAAACACACAAATAGCACAATGAACAACAAACATTACATCATTCCCCAAGCTAAGCAAGTAAAATGCTACTAATTAAATGTGTGATGCATTTAAAGGCGCATGTGTGCATGTGACTGGAGACTAAAGATGTGCTGCTTCTGATAAATCAGTCACACGAGTCACGGGAAGGTGATGTCCTGTGTAGTGCATATAGGCCTAAGCATTACTGCCTGACCCTGCACACTGCGAATGAATGCACACACAGAAATGTTATGGAGTCATTTCTAAAAATTTGTGATATCAGGCAAGTTGATTGATAGGCAAAAATTTGGTCATTTCAGGCCAGTTTGGTTATATTACATATAATTAATTATCCCCATCTTATTAAATATCTAATACAATTTTATGATCATATTTATATATTAAATATTAATAAATAATATAATGGGCAGCTAGCCAGCTCTTTAGATATCATGTTGGCATCAACCACTACTATATATATTTTTTATTTTATAAAACTGCCTATGGTTGGTCAAGTTCCTGTAGGTTTCTATATTATTATACATTTTATTATTATATAGGATAAGTATACAAAACAGCAGAGGTGTAAAGTATTTGAGTAAATGTAGGCCTAATTAATATTACTGTACTTGAGTATCTTTATTGGATACTCTGTAGATTTACTGAGAGAGTATCAAAGATATTAGCAACTTTTACTCTCTACTTCACTACATTTTTTAGTAAGTATCTGTACTCTTTACTCCACTACATTTGTAATGAGTGTTGCAATTACACATTACATTTTGCATGACATCTAGTTTTTTCTGCAGCAGTATATTTTATTATCACCAACTACAGGGCACTGAAAGTACTTTATCTTGTGCGTTTTGCCCTTACTCGCCCAAACTTGTCAACAAGGCTACTTTATGTGAATGCCTTAGCAATGGCAACGAGGCCGAACTCAACTCATCCAGTGCAATTAGGCTTTGACTTTTTAATTTTACTTAATGTTATTTTTTCACTGTTCTTCTGTATTCTTATCCTGTTATTTTTGTAAAAGTACCATAAACAAATTAAACAAAAAATAAAAACTACTTAACATTATTTTAATTATCCGTTATACTGAAGACACCTTTTTGAAGCATAGTGTTTTTGTAATTTTTGAGGCGTTTAGTTTTATTCTGGTTTTCGAAAATTAACAAATCAACTCTTTCTTGTTTTTCACTGGCTAGTCTCTTTGAATAGTGCATCTTTGAGCCTATATTTAGTATAAGTAAAATACTTAAGTACTGTTAAAATCAGACTTTTACTCAAGTTGTTTTGAAATTGGTGACTTGTAACTTGTAGTGGAGTAATTTTCACTGTAAGGTAGTGCCTGCACTTTAAAGGTAGGGTATGTAATTTTTCAAAAACACTTTAGAAAACTGATTCGGGCCGAAAAGCAAAACAAACTTGTAGCCAATCAGCAATAAGGGGCGTGTCTACTCGTGATGTGGAGGAGAGAGCTTTCAGTGCATGGGACGGACATGCACTGAAAGAAAGATAGCGACAGAAAGATAGAGATGGCGGATTAAAAAAAAAACAAAAGAGGAAAACGTCTGCAGAACGATAAGGCAAGAAGTAGGACCCGTGTAAATATCGGATCAGCTTTCCAGTGCTGGAGAGAACTCAAGGAGCGGAGGCCTGTGATCGGACGCCGAGGTTGCTTTGTTTCTTCTCAATAGGTGAGTAACACCGTGTCTACAACAGCTAAAGTCTGCCTACACTGGACGTGATCAAACGACCGTTGAAAACCATTTTAAATTTGTGTCAGCACGTCATAAATAGAACCTGGCAGCAGTTTTCTGTCGGGGATTTGTTGCGCCGCGCCGCTCACGTCCGATGTAGACACGGTGTAACATTGGTTTTCCTTTGTTTCACAGAACTAATCGTTGCCTGGGTTGCGTACGTATATGTGGGGCGGAGCTATCAAAATAGGGGCAAGACCCTTTTGGGGTAGGGGCGTGTTTGTTTTGGTGATTTCAAATATCAACATTGGCTACCAGAAATCGCTTACCCTGCCTTTAACTCAGGTATGGTTTTTCTAGGCTCTCTTTACACCTCTGCAAAATAGGGTGTATATACTTATATATATATCAAGATGAGCAATTCCTGCACAAGGATCAAAATTGTATAAATTCACTTCAATTTAAAAAAAAAAAAAAAAAAAATGTATATATATTTTACACTTTATTATTATATGGCCTCAAAATATGGAGTATCAAATATGACAAGATGAGCAATTCCAGCAAAAGGATAAAAAACTTTTAAATTCTAAAGAAAATGCTAACAACACAATCAAAAATTGACGCTTGAGGGATGGACAGTATATACTTGTACTAAACCATATATGGACCCTTGAGCAATTCTTGAACATCAATCAGAACTTTTTAGATTCTAAACACAAGATCAGCGAAGTAAAAATTGATCAGCCATTATATACACCAGTAAAGACAGATAAAGTGCATACTACAAAAGCATGCATCTCTCACTATAGTTTATAAGTACGAAACGCTCCCACGTGGTTTGCGAGTGCACGACAACAGCACTTTCTGACTGACTCCAGCACAGCAGCACGAACTCAAAACTGTAGAAAACGCCGGTAAACGGCGATTAAAGTTTTTATAATGAACACTTGAACGAGTGCAAACATGAACCGGTGTGCAAAGATAAAACAAATAGCAAACATGGCCAATCTCCAGTATGAAAACGCACTGGCCTGTACACCAGTCACAGCTCATAATAGCTTGTTAACACAAACCAGCCCAACTTTTCAGTTTGCCCTACTTAAATGTAAAAAAGGATCAATCTTTTCAGCTGCGTGAAACTCAACAGTGTTTCACTGGTGGCTGTTCATTTCAGCCACAGCTCCGAACCCTCATTAGCCACAGCAGCTCAGCTTGTCACATCGATTGTGGCTAACTAGCATTAGCTTGTGCGCGATAGCCCGGCTAACTGAACGCGCATGCTGCTATTTCTCAGGGCTGCTCGCGGGTGAGCCTCTGAGCTTCGCCCGGGGCGTGCAATGATCTCATACCACGACATCGTCCAGGTGGAGTGCTGTAGGCATGGGCAGACAGTACAAATTCACCATATTACCAAATATGCCTTAATAAAGGTACAACGATAAGTCACAGCAATACACCCCGGCTCCAAGTTTCCAGGCGCAGACAGGGCCGCGTGTGAACGGGAGTACCGGTGGCGAGCACCAGTGATAACCACAAGGACGGGTAGAGCAGTTTGGGTTCTGTACATGCTTAGGCCGGTTTACTGACCTTGCTCTCCCCGTTGCACAGCGCCATGAATGTGTGATGTGGAGCGGACAGTCCTGTCTTGCCGTGTTTGTGTGGTGAGCGTGTTCTCAGCGGCTCCTCTCTCTTCCGTGTGATCGTTGACGGTGTCACCCACTCGCCTGCTGGCCGCTTACTACTACAGCAGCAGCAGCTCCGCACCCCTGCACCTCTGCCTGCTCGAGGTATGCGATTGCTGATAGGGAGGAGTTTGACGTTGAGACTCGGAGAAAAGTTTCTGTTGGCTGGGGGCCGCCAGTGGGCATGGGAATCCTAATAACGATTCTTTTAGTACCTTTGAAAGAAGAAATATTTGGGGAAATACACCCGAATAAACTATGTTGATATCATTTCAGATTTGATCCGAACAGATATGACGGATAATAAATGCATTGGCAACACTTTATTTGTTAACAAGTAACTATGCAGGAAGTAATAGGTAGTACTACATTAACACTTAACTTAATGTTATTAACTAATAGAGAAGCAAGATTAACTAAGCAGTAAGTAGTAGCAAATTTAGGACAAAGGTAGTTCCTTTATAAATAAAATAAAAATATCCTCATTGAGAACTACTTGGGAACTATGACCAATTAATAAAGAATAACCAATTAATCACTAATCACAACAAAAAGTGAACGCTTAAAAGTGAACAATTGGGTTCTTTGTGGAAACTAATTTATGAATATGATATCCCCCAAATACAGGTTGAAATTGTGACTACTACTCTTACCAAAGGCTGGATGTTCTCTGTTTATTTCAAACAAAAACATAAAATGATAATACAAAATAATTCATTTAAAAATGTTAATAATTAGGAAGTGATTGAACTAGTTTGTGTCAGTTCAGTATGTCTCCGACTCCAAAAGACCTATAGCTTTAGTGACAGTAGGCTGGGGACGACTTTTCTTGAATATAAATAATGATGTTCTCTTGACAAAAACAATTCACATCCTTAATGAAGGAAACGACTGCATTTATATTGTGTTAAGCACAAAACCGCATATTCCAGATTACAGTGTCTGGTAAAATATCACGTAAGCTTTATAGTAATGTGGTCTTGTTTGGGCAAGAAAACAGAATTCAACAATTGATTAAATAAATGAAAACTGGCCTGAATGAGTTCTAAGAAAATGGCAGTAACTCTGGCTGCTAATGGATAAAGTCTGAGTTAGTTTACACGCACATTTCTGGTCACATGCCTTTATTCAACATTTTCAGTCACATGCATTTAAACCTTTTTACTGATTCCACACTGCTTCACACACTGCACATACAGTCATTCATTATATCTGTAGAGAGGAAATGGGGGATGTCCTTTTTCACAGTGAAAGCATAAAATGGCTCATAAGAAAGAGCACAAACAACACAGTGCTTTGTATTTTTAAAGATCAACATTAGTAATAGTACAACAACCAGGTGTCAAATAGCATATGAGCACTGATAAGTTACATTATATATGTGTGTATCATTTAAATAAGGAAAAAAGTTATGCTGAGCATAGACAACACATTGCTTTCTTCCAGTTTTTCTCTCGGTTTATTTTTCTTTTTCTTTCAATTTATGGCTGCTGTACTAATTACACACTGCATCTGTGGCCTTGTGTGAAGCAACATAAGAAACTTCTCTCAAAAATAAATAAATAAATTAATAAACTTTTCAAAGTTCCATGGGCAGAATATTTACTCTCTGTAAATTACATGAAACATGAAACTAAGCGGAACTAAAACAGGCGCTGTAAGACACGTCTGCTGAAGCATTCGGACACATTTTACTGACGCACCGCTCCGGCTTCCTTCTCATTTTAGCAGTCAGGTGTACTAACTGTGGTTCCCGGCGGATTGAAAAACTAGGTATACTGTATATTTATGCACATATATTTATGTCTCAGTAAGGTGCTGCTTATCTGAAGTCAAGGAACCGTGTGTTTTTTTCATTTTGTTCATTGAAGTCTTGACTTGTCTTGTGGAATGTCATCATAGTGCAAGGTAACCGTGAATCAGTGTTTTTTCTGCTTCTTTACCAGCTCATGCTTATGTGGTTCTTTCGTTCGGAGTATGTTCGTTAATCAAAACGTGTCGCATGATAAAGTCTCTGAGCTGATGTTATTTGTTTTGTTTACTCAGCTTTACGTGACAAGAATCAGAACTAGTTAGCTATTTTTTTATTAATCATTTATGTGTTTCGTTAATTGGTTTCATGTTCGAGAGGCTTCTCTGGAGTGGAATACACATTCTTTCCCCAGTCTTTATGGTTTTGGAATAGTATAGTAATACTGTTATAGTAAACTAAAAGCATAAAAACATTTTTGGTATTTGAAACAAAACAAATGCTAACTGAAACAAGTCTTAAAAACTATTTTTATGTTATGTTATGTTATCCTAAACTAACCTCTGCTAGTTGCCAAGACTTGGAATTTCTCATTTTTATTTAGTAAATATATGTACTAAAATAATAGACTAAAACAGAAATAAAAGTGAATGCATAGGCTATATACATAAAAAAAAAATATATATATATATAATAATAAAACTGTCTGTTAAAACTGCTGAAATTAAGTAATTTACAAAGAAAACAAAATCTTAAAATAAATACTAATTCGTTGTATTAAAATAATAATAATAGGATCTCAATGATACCAATATAACACTGCTTCCAATAACGTTATGCAATTCACTTTTTTCACAGACTCATTGGTGCAGCTGGTTTATTTATTTATTTATTTTACACACAGGTGTTTTGAGGACATATCTGGATTGATGCCCGGCAGGTTAAGATGGAACTGTCTGAATCTGTTACACACAAGAACGGGAGGCTGCGGAAGCCTGTGGTGTCCAACTCTGATATGGGTGAAAGAGAATCCAAGCTAGAAGTGGAGTGTGACGAGGAGACTCTTCTACCAAACTCAGTCAGGGCTGATGGACAGGCGAAAGCGTGTCACGGGATCAAAGGAGAACTAGGCAATGTGGCCCTGTTATTGTTTTTGTATGTGCTTCAGGGCATTCCCTTAGGCTTGGCCGGGAGCATCCCTCTCATCATGCAGAGTAAGAACGTTAGCTACAAGGACCAGGCCTATTTTAGCTTCGTCTTTTGGCCCTTCAGTCTAAAGCTGTTCTGGGCTCCCCTGGTGGACTCGCTGTACCTGCGGCAGTTTGGCAGGAGGAAGTCGTGGCTGGTGCCCACTCAGTACCTGCTGGGTCTTTTTATGCTTTACCTGTCAGTCACGGTTGATGCAATGCTTCAGACAGATGGACAGAGTGGGCCAGATGTGATCGCACTGACAGCAGTCTTCTTCGTGCTGGCTTTCCTCGCAGCCACGCAAGATATTGCCGTTGATGGCTGGGCTTTGACTATGCTGTCCAGGGAGAATGTGGGTTATGCTTCCACTTGTAACTCTGTGGGTCAGACGGCTGGATACTTCCTAGGAAATGTGTTGTTTCTGGCTCTGGAGTCTGCTGATTTCTGCAACAAGTATCTGAGGTTTGAGCCTCAGGAACGGGGCATTGTAACACTCTCAGGTATATTTTTACATTTTCAAATTTTTTTTTTTTTAATGAATTAATATTTTTATTCAACAAGAATGCATTCAAATGAACAAATGTGACAGTAAAATCTTTGTACATTGTTACAACACATTTTCATTTGAAATAAGTCTTGTTTTTTGATCGTTCTGTTCATAAATGAATCCTGAAAGAAAACGTTTCCACACCTTCCACAAAAATATGAAGCAACACAACAATATTTAACATTAATAATAACAACAAATATTTATTGAGCGCCAGATCAGCCTAATAGAATGATTTCTAAATGATCATGTGACACTGAAGAGTGCAGTAATGGCTGCTGAAAACTCAGCTTTGCAATCACAGGAATAAATTATTTTTTGAAAAAACTAATTTCACAATATTAGAGTTTTTTACTTTTTAATTAAATGCAGCTTTGGTGGGCATAAGGCAAAAAACATGAAACATTTTATATTTAAGTATATACATATATATTTAGGGTACCTTAACTTGCCTTGCTAAAGAAGCTGAGGGTAAAGGTGATGGATTGGCCAAGCATGTGCATCCTCAAACGGAAGGTGGAGGAGTTCAAGGTCTCTAACATCCACCAGCTCCATGATGTCGTCATGGAGGAGTGGAAGAGGACTCCAGTGGCAACCTGTGAAGCTCTGGTGAACTCCATGCCCAAGAGGGTTAAGGCAGTGCTGGAAAATAATGGTGGCCACACAAAATATTGACACTTTGGGCCCAATTTGGACATTTTCATTTAGGGGTGTACTTACTTTTGTGGCCAGCGGTTTAGACATTAATGGCTGTGTGTTGAGTTATTTTGAGGGGACAGCAAATTTACACTGTTATACAAACTGTACACTCACTACTTTACATTGTAGCAAAGTGTAATTTCTTCAGTGTTGTCACATGAAAGGATATAATAAAATATTTACAAAAATGTGAGGGGTGTACTCACTTCTGTGAGATACTGTGTGTGTATATATATATATTTATATTATGGGTGCAACGGTTCAACTTACACATGGTTCGGTTTGTGTCACGGTTTCGGTACGGTTCGGTATGTGCTATATTTAGGGGAAAAACTATATTGTCAAATAAAAATAATGAAGATAACAAATAATCTAACAAGCAACAGCACAAATAAATACAATAGAGCAAAGATACAAATAAAATAAACAGTGCTTTTCAGGTTTTTTAGGTAGGTCTAACTTCGTTTTTAGGTACAGAAATTGAATAAAGTAATCAAATGTGAAATAACATTGCATATTTGACTGTATAAATTAAAGATTAATCCTTATTAAAGTTACAAAAGTTACTCAATCAAGAGCAGTGAGTGATTTCCGTGTTGTTGCTGTTTGATTAAAGGGGTCATATGATGTTGCTAAAAAGAACATTATTTGGTGTAATGAAATGTGTTTATGCGGTTTAAGGTAAAAAAACCCCCATTATTTTCCACATACTGTACATTATCGTTTCTCCTCTCTGGCCCAGCTTTTTAAAAAAATTATTTTTTTATTTATTTAATTTTTTTTTAACAAAGTTCATCGGTCTGAAAAGCAAGGTGTGCTGTGATTGGCCAGCTATCCAGTGCGTTGTGATTGGCCGAATACCTCAAGCGTGTGACAGAAATGTTACGCATCTACCATACTGTGATGATGCCCTGTCCGGGCGGAGCGACGAGACAAAAACATGAAAACCCATTATAAACGAGGCATTCGTTGCATCCAGTTGGGACATAATTATAAAATTAAAATAGCATCATATGACCCCTTTAACATTAAGAAAGTGCTGTCACTTTAAAAGAACGCACTGATACTGTATGTTCAGCCGACTATCTGCTAGGATACTCACCAAGATGGGCATTTTGACACAATTTTTGTGTGAATTTGTCCATTCAAGCACAATACTTCAAAGAGAGCTTAATATTTGCGCGCGTTCTGAGATGTGAGTTCACGTCTTCTGGCTCTTTAATATTTAAAATGGCCAGAGGCTTAAATGAGTTTAGTTTAAACACATATAGTAACGTGTGCTGTTCAGGTCTCACCTGCGTTATCAACACGTGATGACGGCATATATGACAGTTTGTTAGAGTGACTGGTTTGTCCACGTATTGTTTTTTTTTTTCTCTCTCATCTCTCTTGTTGTAATGTATTGGGAAGCCAGAATTTGTATCCATCAACAGAAACATGCATTAGCCCAACTCTAACAAACCACGTTACAGATGCATTGTCAGATATAAGTTGAACCGCGGTCCTAGTGCATGCCGAACCGTACGGTTTGATTTTTTTTAACCGAGAACAGTTGCACCCCTAATATACATACATATACATACATATATATATATATATATATATGTATGTA